TGTCTGAGAATACCAAAGTATGTGTCCAAGTGGATCTCTCCGATTTCGCTCGAAATTTGCAGGTAGGTTCCCTTTGAGGTGTGGATCGATTGTGTAAAGTCCTTGAAATTGTTTCTGAATGGAACCTTGAAATTTGCGTACAACTTAAAAATGGCCGAAATATCACGTTATTTAAGGGTCCCGGAACGAGTCACGCCACAGCGTATACGAACAAGCTATGAACAAAACTCCATTAAGCCACCGTTGCCTCACCTTAGAGTTCCTGGAGCAGTACCGCTTAACCACGACAGGATCCCAGAAGACGAGGTCCATCACCCCCTGACTCCACAAATGATCGTCTTGAAAGCGCTGGCAAAACAGCCAGCTACGTTCTCAATTGGCCAGAACTATACACAGGCAGATAGTAGAACACCTCTTCTAGGGCTGAGGACATGTCCCCCATCCTCCTTTTGGGGTTTTCTTGAAATAAACTTTTTGGAATTTTTCCACTCGACCATGCTGAAATACGGCCAAAGTCATACCTGCGCAGGAAATCTCGCCCCTCCGCGACGTCTCCTCAGCAATTTCTACTCCAACACTACTAAGGCCGCGGAACAAAGTGTATTGTTGGCTCTGACAATGAAAAGCAACCGTGATCACTTGTCACTCCAAATGACAAGCTTCTCCTTGCGCCAACAATATTTCTTTGTGCGACTGTTGATGCAAAAGGGACTGAAGTCCTGAGCGCAGTCTTTGAGTTTGATTGCAAGATGCAAGGTGAGACCGCCTGCACTGTGATGTAGGATGACGCTTCGTGGATCACGACACGCGGCCATTGATCGCGAACGTGCCTGGAACGCTACTCGGAACAGACCGTGATGGCAGAGGTAAGATGAGCTGAATTTCCTGCTTGATCTGCTGGGAGCCACCACAAACTGTCCTAGGAGTGTTTCAATGGCAGCAAGCCGTTTAAATATACGCCCCCGTACAGCATGGAGAGTTATGCATCTTTCACACTTACCTCCTGCAATCCCGAACATAGTCCAACAGCAAAAGTCCCTTGTTTTCATGTCAATGCTCGACAAAAGCTGTTGGCTCGGTCGCTTTGTGTTGACTGGCACGCGAGTAGCACTGACTGGACGAACTAATTATTACTATTATCAGCCTTTGCACGTTTACATCGCCAAGCAAGCTTGGCTAGTCTTCGCCTAGGCCAAATGGAATGAAGAATGCGGAACGAGCGGGATCAATGAGGTGCTAATAGTAATACGCATGCAACTGCAAAATAGGAAAGAAAGAAAATATATATCAAAACAGTCCAAAAGCACACGAACTGTCACCTTTTGACTTCAACAATACAAGAAAACCGAAACTGCTGAGTACTATACGGTCAGTGTGATACATGTACAGATAATTGACGTACATAGTGTCAATAGGCGCTGACATAATACAGGTTAACATAAGTGCAGTTTTTACTGATAATTAGTCGGGTTGTATCGCGACGACGGCCTGGCTGTGTTCAGGAATGCATCAGGACATGAAGCTGACCGAATAAGAAAGGAGATGAACAAAATATTCCAGAACCTCGGACTGAAGAAAACGATACAGACAAACCTGAAGAGAGTCGACTTTTTGGACGTGACATTGGACCTGACCACCGGAAAGTACTGCCCTTACCGGAAACCGAACGACAAGCCGATGCACATCAACTGCCAGTCAAACCATCCACCTACAATCATCCAGAACCTACCTGCATCGATCAGCAGAAGACTAACAGATATTTCCAATGATGAAGACGTCTTCATAGATGCGACTCCGATCTACAGTGACGCGCTGAGGAAGAGTGGATACCGGGAGAACGTACAGTATTTTGACGAGCGTAAAACGGACGAGTCAAAGAAGAAGAAAAAAAGGAATCGCCCTCGGAACATCATATGGTTCAACCCACCATTTAGCAAGAACGTCGCCACCAACGTTGGACATCGCTTCCTCCAGCTAGTGGCCAAACACTTCCCCAAAGGCTCAAGCCTCAACAAAATCTTCAACCGGAACTCTGTAAAGGTTAGCTACAGTTGCATGCAGAATATGGCCACTATCATCAAGCAACACAATAACACGATTATGCGACCCAAGAAACAAGCTAACGGAGGTGACAACGATACCAGGACTTGTAACTGTCGGGCGAAAGACTCGTGTCCACTGGACGGAGCGTGTCTAACGGAGGGCATCGTATAGAAGGCAAGAGTCACCGCAGGTATGGAGAAGAAGGAATATACTGGATTAACAGCAACAACATTCAAACAACGCTACTATAACCACCAATCCTCATTCCGCCACAGACAACACGAGAAGGACACCCGCCTATCGCAGTACGTCTGGACCAAAAAGGATGAAGGGAAGGCATGCAGCATTCAATGGGCGGTACACCGCAGAGCAGCGGCCTACAGCAACAAAAGCAAAAGGTGCAACCTGTGCCTGGCAGAAAAATTGGCAATCGCGCAAGCACCCAAGCACCTCTCTCTCAACAAAAGGAGTGAGCTTGTATCGAAGTGTCGCCATGAGAATAGGTACTACCTTCGGAACTTTAAACCATCTACAGCCATCACCTAATTAAGTAAGAGACAACCAGCTCCGGTGGTTGTCACCTTTCACCACTGCTGTCATTCACGCTTTGCACTGCCACTATTTACACTTTGCTTTGTGAGTATATAAACCAATACTGATCCAGATTTCCAATTACTGTTTTCTGATGATCGCTTAGCGCGTGAAACTCTGAGTAAAAACACTTCCTCTGTCCTCCTATTGTTTGATATTAGTGTAGCTGAGAACTATGAAGTGGAAATCTACACAAGAGGAAGGTGCACGCTTCATGCATAGTTCGCGCCTACTGCGCATGCCCATCCAGTGATGTAATTATTATCACTCGCTCTTTCCATGCATGCCCTGCATTGATAGCTCACACCTCCTCTACATGCCCATGCGTATCCCCCACAATAAGAACAAGCTATCCCGCGACAAAAGCATTAGTTGTCTGATGATTGCCTTAGCATTTAGCTACGTGCATGAAACGCAGCGTTACAACGTATGTTTCTATAATTGGTGAAACCATTCTTTTTGACCTTTGCAAGAGGAAGGTGGAATAAAAAAGGTGAAGAGTATTCTCTTTATTATCAAAAGTCATTGAATTTAATTAGTCATTCTGCGCTCTGCTAGAAGGAATCAACAAGGTGTACCCTGCAATCGCCACACTAAAATAAATGAAATCAATGTGTATGGAGTTTTTGATATTTTTATCCACAGGCAGGGCTGTATTTCCAAGTGATGGGGACTTGATCTTCTGTTACCTAATATCCTTCTGTTATTCAGAGCTGAAAGTATCTTTAGATCTCTCTTGCAGTAGATCAAACTCTCCAAACAGCTCTCTGTTGGAATCCGGAGTAGGATCCTCGAAAAAACACGTAGTACACGTGGTAAAGCGAGATTTCGAAAGTGTTTTCGAAGGATTTGTACGAGAGCAAAATTGGAGAGCACATGATGAATAAAGAGCTCTAAAAAAGCGATTGCGTGGAAGAATTGATTCACAAAACCTGATTTACGATAGATGTATGCTGCGATGTATTACGTACTGCTAACTGGACAATGACGAGACGTAAGCTAGAAACAAAGTTGTTTGTTATGAAAACCCAATTTGTCTGACTTTTAGCAGGATGGTCATAAGATGGGATGTTGCTATAGGCAAAAGTGTGATTTGTATTACAGGGCAAACAAGGAGATGTACACAAGCCTAGTACAATATGCAACGATTGATCGTTTTTAGTATGAATGTGTTCGTGTGGTGTAAACTTTCAACAAGTAACCCATACACCTAAATATTGGACTGCTAGCTTTCCAATATGTATATGTAATCCCATGCTCATAGAGTAAATGTTAGCGCTAGATGTTTGAGCACAATCCATGTATGGGGTTTGTCTTCTGTATGCGTTCGGGCATGAGGACACGACATTGCAAGTGCCCTGAATGACCTTTTTCTGTTGTATTCACGTTCATGATCAGGTCGATTTCCTGGTCTGTTGCAATACGATCTACGCGACTTGCTCCTCTAGGAACGATCCAGTTTGTGCATGCGTTCATGAGAATGTAGACTTGATAGCCGCGTGAACGACGCTCCACATGTCTTGCATTTGTAAGGCCCATCTCTAGTATGAATACGCTCATGAACCCGAAGAGTTGACAAATGCTTGAATGATAATTCACATTTTTCGCACTTGTAAGGCCTCTCCCCTGTGTGAATACGTGTGTGGCAACGTAGTTCGGAAGATGTCTTGAACAATGCGTCACATGTCTCGCACTTGTAAGGCCTTTCACCTGTGTGATTCCGTTCATGGATATGTAGACTAGATGATGCCGTGAACGATGCTTGACAAACCTTGCACGTGAATCGTTTCCCACCGGTATGAGTACGTCGGTGCACTAGTAAACTGCTGGAATGAGGGAAGTATTTGCTGCATACATCACACTTGAATGTTCGCTGTCGGGTATGAACACGCTCATGCTCACGAAGTCTGGATCCCTTACAAAACTCTCTCGGGCAATACCGACACTTGAGTAATGTTTTAGACATAGAGCGCGTCTCTTGATCTAAAACCGTAGTGGCAGCCGTAGACCCTACAGGTTCCTGTCGGATATTATGTCCCCGTCCAACTTGCCTCACGTTCTCATGCTCTTCTTTTGCCGTATTTTTCCTTCGTGTTTCAGAAATTCCTTCAGCATCAAACGGAGGGCTGGCTAAAGATGCAAATGTTGGCGGTTCCATCAGCAGTTGTCCAGGCGGTGCTCGATGAATATTGGCACAAAACGTTGAAGATGAGTCTCTTCCGTCTCTAATCATACCAGATATACCGGGTGTTGCCTCATTCGTCCCTTCTTTGTAGGCCTTTTGATGAATGAACGTGTTTGTGGATGATCTCATATCATACGGGTTCATTGTTGCAGCAGCAACCTTAGCTGTTGAGACATTCCATGCCGCCATATCAGCAAAAATCTCTGCAGCACGACTCTGTGTATCTTTGTTTTGGCAGCGATCGGATGTATACGGTGCGGTAGGGGTGTCTTCGTGGAGGTAGCTGTGTAACTGTCTGGTTTGTTCTGGACCCCAACGCATATCAGCATCATTAGAATAGCCTGATATAACTTCTGTCCAAAGTTCTTTCTGCTGATCGTTAATCTGAGTACCGCTGTGGACGAAACAAATGTAAACAAAAGTATAGCTTTTGTTCCTTTTCAAAGGACTCTAAGCGCATAGTTGGGACAATACCTCATGCTTGTGCACGTGGAAGAACCATTGGATACAAGTTGCTACCACACAACAACAAGTAGAACTAATTGGTATTCGAATCTTACAATTTTGGACAACAGCATGGCTACGGGACATGATTAAACGACCCACCCCTATTGTTTAGCCAGAAACTGATATAGTCAGACACACATTAACCCACCTGGAAGTGAACACTCGAATTAATGTCAGGATTAACAATCCACCACTTGCAAAGAAGTTCAACAATTATGCACGTCATTGACAAGGCAGAATGACCCTCTGAAATACATCAGTATACTACAGTCATTCTCATGAACGACAATGTGCTTCATCACATCTACTCCCAACACGACACAGTTTCCAAGCAACATACAAACACATTCAAGATCTTAGCATACTCTACAGTGTTGCTAATTATAACAATTGATATTATCAACAATTTACTCGGACTTACATCGCTTCCAGAGCAGGTTCTTTTTGGACTGAAGTTTCCGAAGGAACTCCTAAACCTGGGATACTTCCGACTGGGCGAACAGATGGCATTGGCGTTGCGGAACTGCATGGCGAGGTATATACTCCTCCTATACCACCCAACTTCGGAGGCTGTATTTGGACATAATGTGAAAGCGTGCGTTTTCTAACGATCATTGTTATTATCACATATGTATCCTTCAGTGATGTCACAATGTGGCACATGTTGGGTGTTCAATAAAAGCACATTATTGTTTCATTGTTCATTGCTATAACGATGATTCCTGTTGAGTGGCATACGAAAAATTGTTGGATTCGTTGTTCATTTTCAAGATTGCATATTCTTTTCTCATTGTTATTGCACAATATTTCCACTATTAATACAGTGTTTCTATACAATATCCCCAGGTCCGTTCAGCTTGTTCTGTTTTTGCGAATGTAAAATTGTCGTCCCTTCGCAGTTTGTTCATCGAAGCTGATAGTTAAATGATGTATAACACCGATCTCGGTGTAAGGAGCAAACCCTCTTCCTATAATTGAAATACAAACTCGAGTTCTTATGCTTTTGCCGTTTACAGAGAGTCTCCCCCCCCCCCCCCCACTGAATGTAGTTTCATGTGTTTAGAACCTCATTATAGAGAAAACATACTGCCTTCACATAGTGTCCACGTTGTCCAAGGTCGCAAACTGTCCGGCTAGCAGCGCCCCTTGAATTGTCCTTTGTGTAGTCGTTTTTAGCCGTCCTGGAATCGTCACCACACAGTCCCTGTGTATGTTTTTCTCGGGAATCTCCGGCACTTGCTTGGACATGTGACTGAGTTTCAAGAGGATTGAGGGTGGCAGTCTGCACCCTTTGTTCCCTGGAATCCGCGTCCCTCGCTCTCTGCTGGTTGATATTATACTCGTATGGTCGTTCCTCGCCAAGACAAATAGAGACAAATGTACGAACTGCTCGATCGACATTTTCTTGGCTCCAGCAATTGTCCTCATCTTTGACTAAATCCTCTTGATCGCTTCGTTGGGGATCGCTGTTTTCCCGGTCTTCCATTGCACTTTCCCCGTACAATTGAATCCCAAGAAGAAACCAATTCGTGTTGCCGAAAATGAACAGAACCCCACTCTTAAAGACACTGACTGGCAGATGAGCACACAAGCTTGAAAATACAAACTCCAAAACTCAACTCAGGTCATAATAATATCATAATGAACACGGTTCAAAATTCATAGATTCGTTGGAAAGAGAGAGAGAGAAAATGTCAAAAGTCAGAGCTTATCAAGGGACTGGGTAGCTATGGAAATGAATGTGCTAAAGCGCGAATCTAGCTACCCAGGCCAACGGAAGAAAAGGTTAGAAAAGGGGACAAGGGTGAGTACGAGAGTGTAAAGGTGAGTACGAGCCTGTAAAGGTGAGTACGAGCCTGTAAAGGTGAGTACGAGTGTGCGAGTGCGTGCATATGTGAGATCGTGAACCTAACAGAGTTGTAACTATTATGTCATGCAGATTCTATTGCAAAAACTGTGAATGCTTCACCATCAATGGGCACTTCCTTCAAAACAAGAGCGGCATCATCCTTACCTGTGTTGAAATCATTATCTTACGTGACATGCAAGGGTTGACGAGTTTAGCACACCATTGGTGAAATCTCATGAGAAACAAGAACAATTATCGAACTTATGGTGAACGATTTTTTGGGGTCTGATGCTCGTCCTTTTTGCGACTCCAGTCTGAGTGGTGGGAGTTCGCAGAATGTGGCGAGGAGTGGGTTTTCTTCAGGTCCGGTGAGAAGCCAGTGTAAGTCTGCTTGTTGTAACTCGAAGTTGCTTTCTTGTCTAGCAGCTGTTCGTCTCTAACATATCGATACTTTAATCAGTGAACATTCAGGGCCGTTTGACAATGCAGAGTTTGGTCTCAGCGCGACTCCATCGATCCGGCAAGGAGGATATTTTAAAATTCAGCTCATAATGAAAATTCTATTTCTAGGACTCGGATGACAATGCTCCAACCACCAACCATGTGTTGACATGATCACGGTATCTGATTGCAGCAATACAGACTCTTACCAAGGCATGTGTTTATGTGACAATGTGCGACATCAAGCTTGCATGGACATGATCTCTACAGGTCTCCATTATAACTTGAATATTAGCCCTGCGGGTATGTTGGAGACTACTCTAGTATATCATCGAAGCCCTTTTGGAATGCGCTTATTATAGAGACTGGGTTTCTACAAGAGACTGGGCTTGCAATAGGAATAAAATGGTATAGACCAGATGGGAATGGGGATGTTATGTCCATAGAAATCAGAACGATTCTCTTTACTGTTAGCCTCCTCAAACATGCACGAACTACACGACCAACTTACCAGATGCACGTTATAGCCGTGGATTTACGTCTTTACCCAACAGCTCGATCTCTCGAAGAGGACCTGAAAAGCGCATGCTCAAACTTGTGGCTAGTACGTTGTCAAAATGGCAACTAAGCTGCCTGGAAAACAAGTTGCAACTACAGATTTAAGAACACTTTTAAAATTTGGAACATTCTACATGTATGGGAGGTGAGTACATGTCATGTACACGTGTAAACAGTAACTGCTACATGTACAGTCATTCCCATTTACGACACCCACTAGTTTAGAAGTACTACATTGCACTACATATACATGTACATGACAAACGTCATGACGTCACTCGACTCGCCGCGCGCGTGTGAATAAGAACGGTCTGGCTAGAATCAAAAATTTAAGAACTTTCCTAGGCTGCGCTCGAGCCCCTGCGTTCTTCGGCGCCCGATCTTACTGTAGCACCATATCACGAAGTCCAGTGCATACGTGATCATTTGTCACGCAGGCAACATGCCATCATACATCATAACATCGTGAAAATCATGTTGATGATCAACCTGATTTTCCAGATTTTGATACTTATCTTGGTTGTTTATGAACCCTATAAAATCGTTCGATCTGCATGTCATGTGGTGGTCGACTCAAAGGCCAGTTTCAGGACGCAAACATATCGGTCTCACATTGAGATTTGTCAGTCGGAAAAGGCTGTAGAACGTACGGGTCGAGGTACTTAACATTATGTTCTTCAATTGTGCAGAGCTACTTTGCCGCTCCTCTATAAATTGCCATTGCTTTACTGGATGAAGCCATGACTCTATATGCTGGTGATGTAAATACTACTCAGGTGAGGTAATTGTGGCATGGTGGTGGTTTGTTCTTACCTCCATTTTGTACTCTGTACGAGCACTTGTTTTTGGACCCAAAAAATCACTCGCATTATGGGCCTATTTCGAGGTAGTCTAAAAGTCCCAATGTGTTCGTCAGTTGTGCAAAAAGTCCTTTTGCATGATTGTTCACGGCTGTCCCATGCATGCGATGCGCGTTCATTAAATATGGCGGCCAAATTTTAATCTTTTTCATTTTTTACGCGATCTGGCCTAGTCGTATGTTTGCAATTTCGCTCGACTTCCATCTCAAACGGGCAAGGTCAACCGAAACCACGGGTGTTTGCCAGGTCATTCGATAGAGTTTAGAGCTTGGACTGGCCTTGCCTTCGACTGTGCCGCCGCTCGAGCGATCTTCTTGGGTTACCCACGCGCTACGCATGGTTTCTTTCTCGACGTGGGTGCAATTATTTTTGGATCGTCGCTCGATTTCAAGGGCTCGCCAACCTCGTCAGCGAATTTTCTCCGCCTCGCAGACAATTTTCTAGTATACCTCGATGTCCTAGCCTTTCGATTTCGTGTAGTCCTAAGCTTGACGTGCATAACTGTAGCTTTTCGTGGCCATGTTAGAGACGTAATTTTGTTCAGAAATGGAGGCTCATGTTAGCTTCCTGTCGTCGTGTTGTCGTATTGGAGGGGAGAAATTCGCGTCAAGGAGTAGACAGACGAAGTATCGTGTGGCAGATCATACTGAATCCATTTTGGCATTGTTTCATCTCAATGTGGATGAAACCAAATACACCCTGAACATTTTTGCCACACTTGAAAATTGGCCATGGAATGCACTGTTACTGCCAGGGGCCCAACATTCTCTGGAGCTCTAGAGGTGGATGTACACCGCTCAAAGACTGGGAGCCACACAGTGGGAGAAACTGTTTGAAATGCAAGCCCAAGCCTGGCAGGAAGTCCAAATGCAGAACACAAACGCAAGACAAACTTGCGGCGTGGGAGAAAACGCGGGCCATCGCCCGCAAGCACGAGCACATGCACGCCGCCACCACTGACAGCAGCATCACCAACAAAACCTCGCCCCACCACACCAGTACCTGATCACTGGATAGTTTAGTCTGTTCGGTTTACGAATTCAAAAAAGGCAGACAAAATAACAAAACTAAAAACACGAGCGTCGCATGGACCGAATCTGATGAGCAGCAGCGCGTCACACCCGCATACCAAGTTTAGTAATAGTAGTAGTATAGTATTTATTCATATTTCTCTAGGGCTTAGTGGGTAAATCTCTGCATCCAGAACAGTTCAGTTCAGATAGGAATGCAACAACACACGCACAATGTCCACTATGTCACAGTGTGGTAGGGAGAGAAGTGTTTGCAGCTTGCTGGTAGACGTTCAGCCGTGCATGCATTGGCAAATGGCTAGAGCAGACGGCCCGCCGCCCTTAATGTAAGGCACACACGCAAGCGTCAGAGCTACAGCAGCCAAACAGCATAGTTCATGGATTCATGAAAGACTGCACCATACACTGCGCCAGCTCTGGTAGGGTGCCCTTTTGAGCATCGTCACTGGTCGGTGACGTTTTGCAGGCCTCACCATCAAAGATGCGAGGTGATGCTGCTGATCGACTTGCTGGCATGATAGTCACAAGCATAACTAACGAAGGATGGCTGGAAGTCAAAACCAGCTGTAGATGTAGATTCCAGGTATACCAGACAATTACTGACGCCAGCACTTTATCCGATGCCCAGCAGCGTCAACTGTACGCCGATGGTCACAGGACCGTGACAGCCTTTCGATCGGTCTACGGTCGGGAGACGGGGCTGCAAGCCCAAAGCAGCGGGTATATAGTGTTCGTCACCAGCTGAGCAAGAGAGCTTGCTGAGAGATTTAGGTGTGCACTGTTCAGCAACCAGTCCCAATATAGGTTTGTCCATGAAGGCTGGTGATCCTCAGCTATCATACAACAAATTCCTACTCACTGCGCATATGCGCATATGGCTTGTGAAACAGCAGCAGAAACTGCACTGCCTTGACAAACGCACCAGTTACCATGAGGGAGCAGATATGCTCAGCCCTGGAAGCCAACACCAAATCTCCAATCGCTAGTACAAGTAGCTCTTCACTAAATCATGCCTAGTGCATGCTTGCAGTGATATTTTCAGCAAGAGCGCTGCAGTTACTGCTGAGGAGATATATTGCGTCCTTGAAGTCGAAGGCGCTCATCAAAGATGTCTTGCCATCAATTCTTGGCCTTATGCAGGCACGAGGTGGTCTCCCGTGGCATTGGCCATATTACCCCGAGCTGCACTTGCTCGAGGAGCACGTTGTTTCGCTCATGGAAGTCCTTCGTGTTGGACTGAGTAGGCTTGCTGAGAGAACAGAGCGCTGAATCCATCCACGTCCACAACTACGAATAATTTACAAAAACATTCCGACTGCAGATCAGCGCTTGAAAACGGCGATGCAAATCAGCGACGTTGGGCTTCTCCATTCAAAAGTAGAGCCTTCCTAACGAAGCAATTCTCATGTGACACTACATAGTCTCTCAAGCACTCTAGTTCAGGTCTTCTTCTCTCCACTCCATTATCATTTCGATCTTCACTCGGTCGACGTGATGGTAGTAGCTATGTAAAAATAATAATGATGGATTCCTCCCGATCCTCGTCGCGGCTAAAATTTGTTCGGTGTTTGTTTAAATTCTCAAACTGACAGGGTTTACAAGAGAAATGTACCTAATTTTGTGCGATTGATGCAAATAAATCGGAATATGTCTGACTTCATAAATCCGTGAGGTAAACCGCATGAAAGGACGCCATGTCATTAGATGGTGCACATGAAGTCACCGTGTGTTGTAGACCCGAAAAGAAACATTTTTGCATAATTCGAGGGAAAGAGAAGAGGTGGCCCAGCCCAGCTTTCCTGGCTTTCGCCTACCTGTTCTCTTTTAAAAAGAGGGCTTTCGGAAGTTGTTGTTGTTGTGTTTACTTTAATTCGCAAACCAAACGGGCAGATCTGCCCAATGAAAAGGTGGCGAATGCAGAT